AAGACATTCAAGTGTTCTCTTATAAAATATTTCTAAGTTCCTTAAGCATGGAAAACATACAATCGTGTATCAAAAGTTACAAAAAAAAACAAATCCTAAAGTTGGTTTTATCATCCTTAACAGTCATGTACATTCAATTCTAGCCATAAAGAGTTCATCATCATCGAGCATCATTAATTTATTTCAGAAAACTAATTCGAGCACTTACTAATGTCATGACATATTCATTCTACTAAATACTCTCATGCATTGAATTAAGAACCCTACCTCCCCCAAACTTGAGAGAAGCATTTTCCTCAATGCTAAATAAAAACTAAGTAAAGAAAATAAACTACATGCAATGCAAGGTACCTTGACTACTTATGTTGTGGTGGTGCGACAGTCGTGTGAAGGGGGCGCTTGCGTAATTGTGTGGGGCTGGAGTGTTCTGAATTTGATGTTGGTGTAGCAGGGGGTCCTAAGGCCTTCAGAAGCTGGGATAGGTAAGGATCCTCACGTCTAGACACCTTCTTCAACCAGCGTCTAGTCCTTCGCAGAGGAATTTGCTATGGCATTTCTGATTATACGTCTTCAAGTGGCTCTGTGGGTTACGGGGGTACTAGTAAGGTTGAGACATAGAGCTTGGTTTCTTGATATTCGGTTTTTGGCATGGAGTGAAATGGACCAGGATCTACTGGTTCCTCATTATCAGCAGGCTGGTGAGCATCTTCTGATGCCTTGGCATTCTCAGATGGGCACAAGAGTATATCAGGGAAGACTAATATATCAAGATTAACGTGAGGGAGAATCTCCATGAAAGCATTTACCACAAACTCATCTCGATGCTTTACATAAGCAAAGAAGGTCGTCATATTGCTAGTCAGCTATTCTACGTGATATTGGGTTCACTTAGTGACCTCCTCTAGAGCATCTAGTTTTGACCTGGCTTCTTGGGGTTGCATCAGGGTGGGAAGTGTTCTCCTTTTTTTCTTTGCCCTTGTTTTTCTTGAATCTAAGTAACTTAGCTAGCTTGGACTTTGTAATACCAAACAACCCAGTCAATATTTCATCAAAATGCTCCTCTGACACATTCTTCTTATGACATAGAGCCGTAAAGAGGTTTAGAAATACCAAGGCATTGGCAGGTCGCTTCAAACAAGTATGAACTTGTTCCACAATTATCTTGCCTATATCAATGGAACACCCTACCAAAATAGAGTGCAACATAAGCATCCTATGTAGTGAGACCGTGGTGTTGTGGGCAGCAGGGAGAAGCTTGTGCTTCATGAAATGATTTCACAACTTAGCCCTCGGTTGTAGCCTCTCACGATCTACCGATCGTTGGCTAACTTGCTTCCATTTCCACTTTGTGTTTGAAAAACAAAGTTCTTCCAATATTCCATGGTAAGTCTCATTATCTGCCTCTTTTTCAAATGTGGTGTGATTATCAACAATATCCTACAAGTTAAAATAATGATTAATAGCCAAAGAGGTAAAGTGAATAGAAATACCACAAAACACTACAGTATGTTGATTTGGTTAGTTAAGTTGCCATAAAACTCCTTCACTAGATAGGCATTCAAGTTCCCCGGATGCTTAGCAAATTTTTGCACTGGTGTTGGTGAACAATGTCCATGACATCACTGCCGAGGTTGGCATATTCATCGTTGGAGAAAAAAAAGCCTAACTCAAAGAAAACTCGGTGGTTCTTGATCCCTTGAAAATGTTCTTGCGATGCTTCATCGACGAAACGAGATAGAGATGATGGAGCCATGCTTGAGGGACTTGAGCGTACCATGGTTTAGTTGACAAAATAAAGAAAAGATGAAAAAGCTTGAAGCTTTTTGGATATGGTGTTCGATTTTAAGGAGGGAAGAAGAAGAAAATAAAGAGATTAAGTGAGAAAGTAAAAAGATAGAAATAAGGTAAAATAATTGAAAAAGAAGGTTATTTAACGGGTGGATGAGGTGTTGGTTGGGGAAAAAGACAAAAAAAAAATAAATGAAAAAGTGAACCCTAATAACCCTAAAAAATTCAAAAAGTAAAAAGGTAAAAATATTCCCTCTTATTTTGTCTTGTTGTCGTCCACTCCTATTTCTTTAGCCGTACGGTCATCACATGCCTGCTGCGTGGTTCCAAAAAAGATGCAAAACAAAATTATTAATTGAAAAGAAAATGAATATAAAGTAATAAAGATAAGTAATATAAAACAATATAAATTATTATTTATGCACATGAGTAAATCCAAAATATAATGGCATCTTCAAAATGCTTAGCAGACTCTAGCAACGTGCAAGAAGAGTGTCGATTTGTCACGCAAGGGCGAAGCTCCTTGATAAGCCTTCAGACAGTGACTGTTAACTTTGAAAATTGACCCATCATATATATTCTTGATATCAACAGTGCCATGAGGGTAGACACTGTGTACTTCAAAAGGTCTAGACCATCGTGATTTAGTATTCCAGGAAAGAGCTTTAGCCTCGAGTTGAAAATGACCACCTATTGGCGAATTTGAAAATGCCTTGGCAAAAGCATTCGATCATGCCACTTCTTGGTTTTTTCTTTATAAAGCTTGACATTTTCATATGCTTGTTCTAGAAATTCTTTTATTTCGTTCAGATCGAGTAATCGTTGCTCTCTAGCTAGTTTTGTGTCAAAGTTCAGCTTCTTGATAGCCCAATATGTCTTATTCTCTAGCTCTATAGGTAGGTGGCATGCTTTCCCATATACCATCTTGAAAGGAGACATTCCTAAAGGTGTTTTGAATTTCGTTCGATAAGCCTAGAGCACTTCGTCCAGCTTCGGGGACCAATCCTTTATTCTAGGATTCACCACCTTCTCTAGGATTTGCTTGATCTCCTTGGATGGATACTTCAGCTTGCATTGGTTTGGGGGTGATATGTCATGGAAATTTTATGTCGTACTCAATATTTTGGTAATGCCTTGGAAATTAGCTTGTTATCAAAATGAATGCCCTCATCACTGATGATGGCTCTAGGTGCTCTAAATTGGGTAAATATATTCTTGTGAAGGAATTGAGCACGGTTTTAGAGTTATTCCACGGTGTGGTAATTGCTTCAACCTACTTAGATACATAGTCCACAATAAGCAAGATATACAAGTCTCCAAAAGAAGATGAGAACGGTCCCATGAAGTCAATGCCCCATACATCAAAGAGCTCGATCTCCAAAATATTTTGCAATGGAATTTCATGTCGCCTAGAAATGTTCCCAGTGCACTGGCATCTATCACATGCTTTACAAAACTCATGAGCATCCTTGAACAGTGACGGGCAATGAAATCCTGATTGGAGGACCTTAGTACCTTTTCTATCTACACCTCTAAGTTAAATTCTTGCAGTAGTAATATCCACCTAATAAGTCTAGGCTGGCATCTTTCTTGTTCACTAAGTATTTTATAGCTGAGTGATCAGTGTGAATAATGACTTTGGTGCCTATCAAGTATGGCCTAAACTTGTCAAATACAAATACCATTGCAAGTAATTCATTCTCAGTGGTTGTGTAATTCAGTTGTGTTTTATTCAAAGTACGACTAGCATAATATATAACATGGAAAATTTTACCTCTGCGTTGCCCAAGCAAAGCTCCCACGAAAAAATCGCTGGCATCATACATCGCTCGAATGGTGACGTCCAATCGGGGGGAACCACGATGGGTGCAGAGATAAGTCTTTGTTTCATCTCAGTAAATACGTCATAGAAATTTTTATTGAACACAAAGGGCTGATTTGTTTGAAGCATGGTGTATAAGGGCTTGGATATCGTGGAGAAGTCCTTAATGAATCTTCTATAAAACCCAGCATATATAAGGAAATTCCTAATGCCCTTGACAGAAATTGATGGGGTAGCTTCTCGATCACATCGATTTTGGCTTTGTCCACTTCAATGCCCTTATGAAAGATCTTATGGCCTAACACAATGTCTTCGGTCACCATGAAGTACACTTTTCCCAATTCAGCACGAGATCGACCTCCTCACATTGCTTGAGTACCTTTTCCAAATTACTGAGACATTTCTCAAAGTCATCTCCAGAAATGGAGAAGTCATCCATAAAGAGTTCTAGAAAATCATTAACCATTCAGAAAATATAACTTGCATGCAGAGTTAAAAGGTTGATGGGCATTACAGAGTCCAAAAGACATCCTCTAGAAAGCATAAGTTCCATAGGTACACGTGAACGTAGTCTTCTCTTGGTCCTCTAGTACGATGGCAATTTGATTATACCACGAGTATCCATCCACGAAGCAGTAAAATCCGTTTCCAGCTAGTCGATCCAACATTTGATCGATGAAAGGCAAAGGGAAGTGATAATTCTTGGTGGCCTTGTTTAGTTTGTGGTAATCCATGTATATTCGTCACCCGATGACAGTGCGTATTGGCAATAACTCATTGTCCTCACTTATCACCATGGTTGTGTCTCCCTTCCTTGATACACATTGGACGAGACTCACCCAAGAACTATTAGAAATGGGGTAAATCACTCCAGCATCAAGCCATTTGAGGATTGTTTTAATCACGACTTTCATCATGATTGGGTTTAGTATTCTTTGTGGTTCTATAGATTTGTCATGGCATTCTTCCAGCAGGATTTTGTGCATGCAAATAGTGGGACTTATCCCCTTCAGATCTACCATAGTCCATCCTAACGATTTCCTGTGTTATGACAAAACACTTAGAAAACTACATTATTGGTTAGGAGTAAGGGCAGAGGATATAATAACAGGTAAAGTTTTATTACTATCCAGATAAGTATATTTAAGATGTTATGGCAATTTTTTTAACTTTAGGGTAGGTGCATACTGTAATGAGGGCTTAGGAGGAACAAACTCATCAAAATCAAGAGGTCCAAAACATGAACCTAGACTAGCTATGAGAAAGCTAGCCTGCTGCTCCTCCAAAGAAAAGTCATTGGGCTCCTCAACACTTTCTTCTTCAATAAGCCTCTCAAAATTTTACAGTTAAATGAAATTGTCATGGTAAAATTGATCAACTTCTCCTGCTATCAATGAATCTGCTTCGAAAATGCTCTGCATTCTTCAAACTCATCCATGTACTTGAGAGTACAGAAAACATTAACAGTGACACATTGGTCGGACACTCTCATGGTAATCTCACACTTCTCACAATCGATAAGAATACGTCCGATAGCTAGGAAGGGTCTGCCCAAAATTATGGGTGTCGTGGCATCAATCTCGTAATCCAGTATATGAAAGTCTACTGGTAACACAAATTTGTCCACCTTTACAATGACATCCTCGAATCGCCCCTCAGTACGAACATGGAAGCCATCGGCTAGTGCAAGATAACATATGTGGGTCTCGCATTTCCTATTCCAAGCTTCATGAAGATTGACTTAGGCATTAAATTCACACTTGAGCCAAGGTCACATAGTGCCTTCCCAATGTAATTTTATCCTATCAAACATGGAATAAAAAAGTTGCCTGGATCTTGTCGCTTTGGTGGAAGCTTGCTTAAGACAGAGCAACATGCTTTTGTCGTGGCAACTGTTTCGTACTTCTCAACTTTTCTTTTCTTGGTAACAATCTCCTTGAGAAATTTAACATATGTTGGCATTTGTTCTATAGCTTCAAGAAAAGGAACATTGATGTGGAGTTGGTCCAGAATGTCGACAAACTTCTTGAATTGAATGTCAACATTATACTTCTTTAGTCTTTGTAGGAAAGAAGGTAAGAGTCTGACTTCCTTTAATAAAGGGGTGGGAACATCATTTGCCGTGGCATTTATATTTACTCCCTCAGTTGCTTTACTAGATGAACCATCATCCTTATCCTCTTCCACTTGCGTCTCGTCTGGCATTTCATGCTCAGCTTGCACGGTTACAGGGGATAAATCATTCTTCGGTCTTCCCCCTAACTTGTCTTCTACATTGATTTAGGCGACACTCCGTAGAGTGAGTACACTACATTACTCTTTTCCATGAGGTTTCATGACTTCAATGTCACTCGACAGACGACCTGGTTGACATTCTTGTAATACCGTGATAATTTGACCAACCTGACCCTCCAACGCCCTCAAAGATGAAGTGTGGCTCTGAAGCAAAGTGATAACTCCATCAAAAACTCAATTTCTAGTTTTTTCACTTAAGTTATTTCTCGTCTGAACAAAGTATGCACATCATTTTAGTTGCATTTAGTTGCATGTAGGTCATATTGCTTGTGGTGGATAAGTTTTGCTTCAGCAAGATTTATTTGGTTCAACTGATACTGTTGAGGAGAAAGGGTTTGTGTGGATTGTGTATGTGCAGGAAATTTACAAAGAAAGAACATTTCAGTTGCGACCGCGTAATTTGCAAGGGCCAATGGAATAGAGAAGAATGTGAGGAGCAGATTTATCTCGCCGAGGTAAGGTTTATCTGAAGAGTCTGAAACATATATGACGAAATAACCTATGTGACATGCCAGCTGGATGACCTCCTTCACATACAAGCAAGCCTTAAATATGCTGCCAGCCTCCTTTCCTTTTTAGGCTAGACAAAATAGCAATAGTTATTTAAGGAATCTCCAATCATGCGAAACCCTAGCAGATTCCTCCCTATAAATATCTAGTCGTAGTCACTAAAGAGAGAAAGCAAGGAAGAAGAAAGAAGAGCTTTACTGAAGGTATGAGTGAGCAACTGCAGTGCTTTCTCACCGTTTACCAACCGACCTTCCTTGGTGTCCTCCATAGCTAGACTATAGCATAGCGGTGATCAGGTGTCGAGAGAGGCTGATCACTAAAGCAGGCACGGTGCTGATCAAAATTGTTACGATAGAGCCCCCAATTTTGGGAGTCATTCTTCCTTTGTTCTTAATTTCTTTATATATTTAGGGTTGTATTAAACGATGATACTTGGATGACTTTTTTATAGCACCATGATTGTCTTAATTGGCGTTAATATTTGTTTTGCCTATACAATTATTTTCTGCTTTATAGATGATGAATTATGTTTTTGCTCATAACTGTTTTGTTCATTGTTTGAATATTTTACCTTGACACTGTAAGAGCATCGAGAGATTGCCTGGGGTTTTGGTAAATCATGTCTTGGCAATGTAAGAGCATCAAGAGATCGCCTTTTGTCTAGATAGTGATTCTTAGATTCGAGAGAATTAAGATAGATCTACGTGAATAATGGAATGGATCCGGGATGGTGATGTTCTAACTTGTCTACCTTAAAGATAAGGAGAGGGTTTCAATCGACTAAAAGGGATAGACGCTAGAGTAGGATAGAGAACGCCTATAGTTCACGCTGAGATGTATTGCTACAACAACAGTCTGACAAACCAAGGGTTGTAGTTAATGCTGAGTAGTATTGCCATAGAAACCGTCTAAGAATGCTTAGTAATCCTGTCGGGCAGGTTAAGCAAGTCACAATAATTCATTCTAGACTTAGAGTAATTGTCGTCAACACAAAAGATTAACATAAGTGCTCTGTGATAAGTCTGAATATGTGAGGTTTTTTGAACTATATTTAAATTCTTTGTTTTGTTTTATTTTAGTAGTTTGCATATTTATTTTGCCTTGACCAAACTTTTTTGTAATCATTATAATATTTCCTTGTCTTATTAATATTATCTTTTTAGTTTGACAAGATAGTAGGAATTAGTTTGTGACAACTAGTTCTAATTGTGGTGAAGATAAATTTTTAGACAAATCCCTGTGGAGACGATAACTTACTTACCCTATATTACTTGATTCGATTGTGTATACTTGCACAAAATTGCTTGTCTTAGCATATACATTTACAAGCAATCAGCAGCAGCAGATCGGTGATCAGGTCTCGAGAGTGGCTGATCACAAAGGTAGGCACGGTGCTGATCAGAATTGTCACGATAAAGCCCCAGGTTTTGGGAGTCGTTCTTCCTTTGTTCTTAATTTCTTTACATATTTGGGGTTATATTAAACGATGATACTTGGATGACTTTTTCATAGCACCATGACTGTCTTACTTGGTGTTAATCTTTGTTTTTCCTATACAATTATTTTCTGCTTTATGAATGATGAATTATGTTTTTGCTCATGACTGTTTTGTTCATTGTTTGAATATTTTACCATGACAGTGTAAGAGCATCGAGAGATCACCTGGGGTTTTGGTAAAACATGTCTTGGCAATGTAAGAGCATCGAAAGATTACCTTTTGTCTTGATAGTGATTCTTAGATTCGAGAGAATTAAGATATATCTACGTGAACAATGGAATGGATCTGGGATGATGATGTTCTAACTTGTCTACCTTAGATATAAGGAGCGGGTTTCAATCGACTAAAAGGAATAGACGCTAGAGTATGATAGACAACGCCTATAGTTCACGCTAAGAGGTATTGCTACAACAACAGTCTAACAAACCAAGGGTTATAGTTAACGCTGAGTAGTATTGCCATAGAAACCGTCTAAGAATGCTTAGTAATCCTGTCGGGCAGGTTAAGCAAGTCACAATAATTCATTCTAGACTTAGAGTAATTGTCGTCAACACAAAAGATTAACATAAGTGCTCTGTGATAAGTCTGAATATGTGAGGTTTTTTGAACTATATTTAAATTCTTTGTTTTGTTTTATTTTAGTAGTCTGCATATTTATTTTGCCTCGACCAAACTTTTCTTCAATCATTATAATATTTCCTTGTTTTATTAATATTAGCTTTTTAGTTTGACAAGATAGTAGGAATTAGTTTGTGACAACTAGTTCTAGTTGTGGTGAAGATAAATTTTTAGACCAATCCCTGTGGAGACGATAACTCACTTACCCTATAATACTTGATTCGATTGTGTATACTTGCATGTAATTGCTTGTCTTAGCATATACATTTACAACCGATCAAGTTTTTGGCGCCATTGTCGGGGATTGTCAACTAACGAAATTGTTATTCGCCATAACAAGTTTTTCTTATCACCTTATATCTATCTAGTCTAACGTAGTTTACTATTTTCTTTTGTAGGTTTTTATTATTGCATGACCCTGAGATCTCCTGGTAAACCATTGGAACCATTCGACCCTGAAGTTGAATAATCATCCAGACAGAGGCTACGTGACCAACGAACCAGATAACATTTAAACCAACTACAAGGAAACAACATGGGAGATCACGATGATCCAGATGCAACAATTAATCTTCAAGTTGCAAGACCAAGAACGATACAAGATCATTTGAACCCAATTCTCCATGACCTCAATCTAGGCATAGTGGCACCTGAAATACAAGCAACTCATTTTGAGCTTAAACCAGTGATGTTTAATATGCTAAATTCTATCGACCAATTTGGTGGTTCACCCAATGAGGACGCTAGACAACATATTTGTGCTTTCCTTGAAGTATGCGACTCGATTCGACAACAAGGAGTACATGAAGATGTGCTTAAACTAAAATTTTTCCCTTATTCCCTACGTGATAGAGCTAGAGCTTGGCTCAGTGGAGCTCCTTCCGGCTCAATGGAGTCATGGGCAGATTTATGCAAGAGTTGCCTACTTCGATATAATCTGCCCAATATGAATACACATCTTCGCAATGACATTGCAAGTTTTCTCCAAAGAGATGATGAATCAATGTACGAATGTTCGGATAGGTATAAAAGTCTACTTTGCAAATGTGTCAACCATGGATTTCATGAATGGACTCAAGTAGTAATGTTTTACAACGGAGTTAATGCACCTACTCGAATGATGTTAGATGCCTCAGCAAATGACACCTTACTTGACAAATCACCAAAGGAAGCCTTTGATATCCTTGGCAGGATAGCAAATAATGATTATCAATTCCCAAATATAAGATTGGTAACCGGAAGAAAAACATCTGGAGCAAATGAATTATAGGGTAAGGATTCAGTAGCTGCTCAACTTTCTGCCATAACTAATATGTTGAAAACTTTGCAACGTCCTAATGAAGTAAGAGAAGCCAAGGTGACCAATATCGCATGCATATTTTGTCATGGCAACCATCATGAGAGTGAATGTCCAGAAAACCATGAGTCAACCAATTTTGTGGGCAATTACAACCAGAGCAATAATAACCCCTGTTCAAACACGTACAATCCTGGTTGGAGATAACATCCGAAATTTTCATGGAGTAATCAAGGGAACAGTAACAATCAAGAAGCAAATTACAAGCCACAGTAGAATAATTCTGACCATCAATATTTTCAAAATCAGTATCATCAGCAGCCCTGGCAAAACAATAAAGGTATAGCTTCTTTCTCTAATACTAATTCCAATATTAATTCCTTGGAGTTATCATTGCATAAATTTATGGACTCAACAAAAGAGCATTCTGCAACAATTAGAAATCAAGGAAATTTGCTACAAAGGCAAGCCACACTTTTACAAAACCATAGTTCGTCTCTAAGAGCATTGGAGAATCAAATGGGATACATTACTATGGCATTACATTCTTGCCCACAAGGAAATCTCCCTAGTGATACGGAGATCACTAAACATCATGGAAAGAAGCAATACAGTGTGCTTACACTAAGGAGTGGAACATAGGTCAACCAAAATGACAAGTTTAGGGGAGAACACCAAAACAGTCCTCACCATAGAATAACACAACCAGGGGATCGAGCTGAAAATGAGGAACAAGATGAAGCGCCTGAAGAGAAAGAAGGGGATGAAGGCTCAGAAAAACATCGTATAGATAATGAGAAATTCATGGCCAAGGCCAGAGATTCCTCAACACCAATAGTAGATAATGTGTGACCTCCACCACCGTTCCCTCAACGATTGAAGAAGTAGAATGATGACATCCAGTTCAAGAAATTTGTTGATGTTCTAGACCAGTTGTATATCAATGTGCCCTTACTTAAAGCCATCGAGCAAATGCCTTCCTATGCC